CGCACACTTTGAAAATTGGCTGATAAAGTTTGTCGAAGGTGAAGCCGCGAATACCTTCTTGCCAGAGCATAGCATCCTGCATGTCTGCACGCAAGGCACGACGGAATCTAGAATGACACTTTCAAAAAAGGGATCCGTTGATGCCTCACATAATTAAAGGCACATGCCACGCTGGACATGGGGAACCAGGTCCGCCTCATTGAAACGTCCCTCTGTCCTAGCGAGGTGAGCTTCAAAGCTGGTGCGCCATTTTCAAACACGGCAATCCTAACTGCATGAATTTAGTGCATGTGGCGTAGTACGGGAGGGACAAGGCGTAACCCACTGAGGAAAACGCATTGAACGATGGACTCCGCCCAAACGACAAGCGTGGATTGTGCTAAACTTTGAATTGATTTGCGTCATTTAGCCTAATTTCCAGCGCTGCACCCATTCCTCCCAACTTAGTGTCATTTGAATGCGACATTTGGCGGGGCCTATACAATGAGTTGCGGTGGTCAGCTTACGCATTTTTGATAGCGTTGCAGTCAGTCGGGATTTAGGAGGGGCAGGACGAACCCGCCTCGGGTGTCTTGCTTTGTGATGGGCTAGTGATTAGTGGATTAGGGAGACAACCAGTGGTAGAACCATTCCTCCCGAAGCCGCCTCGACTGATTGCGACGATATCAGCTGCGTAACTCAGTCTGTCTGGTACCAGTTATGAGCCCCACCCCCTTCCTGGAGCTTGAAGTTCGTAGTTTCATGGGTTCCATTAGGATGCGCCAGCTCCTGTCTTTTCAGGAGGGTCAGTGTCTAATGGGTTCACCCAAGGACATGCGACATTATCGGGCACTCAGAAGAGAAATTTCGCAGCCCGATGAGCAGCTGCAACCAAAATTCAAGCCGTTGTAGGAGCCCCTCCCTGGACTTGGGTACGCACGCGCATAGTGCGATCTGCGTTGATCATCCTGCATTGTGGGCAGCTGGTGAAGTACATTGCTAGTGCTACACCATCTTTGCGCCTACGCTTCGGCACCTTTGCCCCCCCCCTTAGCAGTAGGTAAACGAAAGGGGATCTGCGGGATCCTTCGCCTTAGGCACCATCGGCAATTGCTTTTCCGAAATCCGGAAATATTGAGAAATGGCATCCATTTTACGACTCACACTTTCAAGGCTATATCAGGCAGAAGTGTTGCGATAACAGCCATCAGCACGACAAAAATTAGAGCAGTCAGCGGAATCATGTATAGAAGTCCTCCAAGGTAGCGTGGGAAAACAGAAAAGTGCTGAATTTTTGAAAATTCGAATAAGTAAGATATTTTGGGTGTGGACGTGCGAGTAAGTGACTTACGTGGACGAAAAATGTGCTGAAAAGCACCCAGCATAGCAATAAGCCCACCGAGGCCACAGCTGTACCGATTGAAAGCTGAAAGTGAAAAGGTTCAAACTCATTTTCCAAAAGCTTAGTTGAACAAGGGAACATAAGGTTGCGTTGATACCGCGGCAGCGTCCACCAGCGTCTACCAGCGATCACCAGCGACCACTAGCGTTCCGGGAGTCCGGCAGCGTCAGCGACTAGGAAAGCATAGATGTCGATCTAGCGTCTGCCAGCGTCCGCCAGCGATCGGAAGTAGGACGGTAGTAAACAGTCGAATTAGGCGTCGTGAAATTGCGGCGTGAGCAACCGCACCGCACAACTGCTAAAGCACAGAATTATGCAATTTAATGTACGGTGTAGTGTAGTTGTGCGGTGCGGTTGCACACGCCGCAATTTCACGACGCCTAATCCAGCTGTTTGCTTCCCTCCTACTTCCCCGTACTCTCTGCCCCTGTCGCTAGTGGACGCTGGTGGACGCTGGCAGACGCTGGATTGATACCTACACTTTCTTAGCCCTAGAGACGCTAGCAGACGCTGGTGGACGCTGGCGCATGCTAGTAAACGCTGGCATACGCTAGATGGATCGATACTTCATTGTCGCTGATGCCGCCGGAGTCTCGGGACGCTAGTGGTCGCTGGTGGACGCTCTGGACACTGCCGCAAAGTATGAACGTAGCTTAACATACGTGTTTGGACAGTACCAGGACGGTACATAGATAAGGAGGGGAGAAGGTAGGCCACAGTGTGTGCCACGCAAACTTGTACAAAAGTGATAAGGCGATCTCACCATAGTAATGGAGTTCGTTTCGAGAAGAGCCTTGAGATTTGCAACGAGCACCAGAGAGAAGTAGATGAAGAAGCCAAATACCCACAATGTGCTGTCAGCTCCGTATCCGGCATGCAGTGGAGCTGTTAATGGAAAAAGCAGTGGAGGGTCAAGCTATTTTCCTTGAAAAATGAGGCAGAAGGCGGAGGTATTCTGCACGTTCGCTACTCCTGTTGAGCTACCAAGTGATTTGAAAAGCCTTTGGGAACCTATGAAGCAATATCCCTCCCCCATTCTCCACTCAAACTGCAACTGCAACAAAAGGGAGTGAAAATGCCAAGCAGGAGCGTCAGCTCCTGCCAATCAGGCCAAGTAACCAAGTCATACTATGCCCTACATTTCAGCATTTACATAGACAAAAATGAAGATAATGGTGGTTTTTCTTAGGGTTCTTAAGGGTTTCTTAGGGGACAAAAATGCTGACCAAAACTCTTCATTTCTCAGGGATCTCCACATCATAGTTGCTGAGGCAGTGTTCAGACTCCGCGACGGCAGCGCTTCGGTCGCGCGTCGGACGCGATCGATGCAGACGAAAGCATGCGTAACTGGGGTAACTGTAAGTTCACGCTCCAAACTCACCACCAGCATCCCAATAGTAGATGATTAAAAGGAAAATTGCGACCCCCTGCACAGCTGCACAGAAAAACCAACGAAATTGACTCTGGAATAGTAGAAGGTACCGCATTGGTCAAATTATTTGATACATTCAAAAGGAAGGCATACCCAATTGCTCAGTGAGTTTTGATAATATTGATAAAGTTGAGGGTACTTGATGAGACTGACGATTGGGGCTGGACGATCGATAATACCTATTACAAGGGCCGGAAAGCTGAAAATAGTTCTTTTCACTCACAATAATCTGAATGCGTGCTGCTTCGGGCAGTGCTAATCCGCGCTTTTTGCGACCTCCAGCCAGGGAGCATTCCACGCTGACCACATGGGTGGAGCCAGGCCACCTCGCACCTTCCTTATTCGCGCGCAAAGGGACGCATTAATAAGAGAGACGAAGTGATAGGCACGACTCCGCCCATAGGATGAGTGTGGACTGTACATCCAAAGTGCTCACAATCACAGCAAGTCGCTGAGCAGGGGTGCACCCGTCAAAAAGGGCTCAAAGGACCGCAATCTGAACACTTATTTGAGAATCTGCGTAAACGTGGTACATCCTGCCGCTGGGGGAAAAATCTAGCGAAATACGTTCGCACCTCGAAGTGCCCTCTGGCATGAGCCCACCCCTCCCTCCTTCCCAGCCCACCTACCGTCTCTCTAAATTCCGCGCTTTTTTACCTAAAAAAGTCTATGAAGCGCAAGTGAAACGGAGAAACCAAGAGAGCAACCGGAAACATTTTTCTCGAAAGCAACGAACGAACCTTCTCATCTGACGACCAGATACTTCTTCCCTCGCTCGCCCCTTCCTCCTCCCATCGACCAAATACGACCCCCCCCCGCTGGAAACCTCCAATGCACGACGTGCGATGAACCACATTTTAACAAACAATCACCCACACAACTCCCTTCATCATCAAAATCCAGCTCAACTTGCCTTGTAAAAAACATATTGTAGAAGAGCACAGTCCATTCATCTGCATGGGTCTGCACACTGTGTCCATTCACGTGAGTAAAGAGAGCCTGTGAAAACCCCGATAGCATCCAGTTATCTGCTAGGAAATGCTAGTAGCCAACAGCTCACTATGACAGAAGTTTCGAGTACATTCTTGTAAAGTGAGAACAAAATACATTTTGACGTTCGGAACAACGACAAGGTGCCATGGATGAACAGAAGTCGATCCAGGTGATAGAACTAAAAGCCGGTCATTTCAAAGACATTGGAGAAAATCACAAAATTATAGTTATAACGCGCGTAAGGTTAAGCGGTAGGAGCGCACAGCACACACTGTACCTCCCATTCTCGCTCACAGTCAGGCAAAACTGGCTTACAGTATGCCCAATCGTGTGCGTTCACAGTCTGAACATTCAATTGCACGCGCAGTTTCGGGAATACTGTATTCCGCCTTTAATACCAAACTTGTAAGCTTGAGAGGAAATCTACAGATCCGATCGAGAAGAGCATACCTGACCGATGGTGTAGTCGGACGCCAGAGCTGCCTGCATACCCTCTTGGCCGGCAATTCCAACACCTACGTCAGCCTCCTAAACTGGGGTTGTGGAAGTGACTTTTTCGTGACCAGTTCTGCAGGCTAAAGGTGCCCTATATCAGGCCGTGCCACTTTCTTCGTTGACGAAAATGAGGCTGTAGGGTGGTACTACCCAAGTGCCGTCTCCATACTCTGCTCCTGCTATCTCCAAAATGTGGCACTTGCGTCGATATTGAGGTCCCGCAGCGAAACACGCAGTTGCGGGGAACAATCAAGTGAGACAAGTAGAGCGTTTGGATATGGTTAGCGGCTTAGCTCAATGTGCAG